GACCCTGACCTACCCACCCCCCCTTCCCGCCACCCCCCCCACCACCTCTCCTCTCTCTGAGTGCTTGTACATGCCTTGCTGTCAATGACAGGAGTTCAGAGCACCTGTTGAAGGTGTTTCCTGAAGGGCAGGTGTGTCTTGCTTTCATTCCACCTGGATTGCCCTCAGCAGGGACCTGTCCTCTGGAAGCCATGCCTCCGCTGTTCCTCCGGTCGTCACTGCATCTCCACGGGGAGGGTACCCTGCCTGCACCAGGGCTGGGTACTGCAGGGGAATCCCACCGGCCAGGAGGACAAATGGGCTCCCTAGCCTTGGGTCTAAATGGCTGGACCAGGGACAGGTATGTGTTCATTCTCTGACTCTCCCCTCTGTCCCTGTAGCAGTCGCTGCTAATCAATTCTACTGGGGTGTCTAGTTGGCAATGATATATGCCCTAGATCAGTGGTCATCCAACTGCGGCTCGAGAGCCACATGCGGCTCTTTGGCCCCTTGAGTGTGGCTCTTCCTAAGCCTTAGGAGTACCCTAATTAAGTTAATAACAATGTACCTACCTATATAGTTTAAGTTTAAAAAATTTGGCCCTCAAAAGAAATTTCAATCGTTGTACTGTTGATATTTGGCTCTGTTGACTAATGAGTTTGCCAACCTAAATGGATTTTAAGAGTCTGGGGAACTGATGGGTTCTTATTGGATCCTTTCTGAATAGAAATCAGAAGCTTCGTGTAAAAGAGGAAACACAGCGTTTATATTCTGTGCCCTGAGCATCTCTGACCCTGTCCGTCAGAGGCCAGGGCTCCTCTGGAGTCCCCTTCCTGAGTGGATAAAGAAAGCTGTGCAGGGGAACGTTCTGAGGAGGTGCAACCTCTGGCATGGCCTTGGGCCCAGCCTGGGGGGCAGAGACCCTAGTGGGGCTCAACCAGGCTCTGGGACGCCCCACCCCTTTCCATTTATGGTTCAGCCGGGCTGGGGGCTTAGCTACACACTGAGAGCCCAGAGGAGAGGACTCTCATTAGTGCGGGGCTGGGCGGGGTAAGGCAGCTGGGACAGGGCCTCTGACTCCTCATCTGAAAGAAGGGTGATGATCTGTGGGCAGGGTGGTGGTGAGGTTCTGGGAGGAGAGGAATGCACAGGCTTCGGGCCCCACTCTGCCTGGGGGTGGAGGGGAGAGTGATGACCACAGTAAGGTGACAGAGAGTCCTCAGGAAACCCTGTGAGGGAGGTGAAGTCTCACTTTCCAGATGAGGAAATAGGCTCAAGGTCAGACCACAGGCCCAAAGTCGTGCAGGGTGAGTGTTCAAGCTGGGATTTGCACTAGAATCAGAGCACCCTGGTGCATGGAGTAGCACTGGTACCAACTGACTTGGGTCAGGTGTCCAGGGCCCAAGATTAGGGGTTCTGGCGGGAAATGGGGTGGAGTACGGCCTCAGTGACCCTGTCCTGGATCCTGGCAGGAGCAGCCCACCAAGCTGTCCTGGAGATGATCCCTAGAGAGGCCAGAAGAGAAACAGCAGGGGCAGGGGAGTGTGCCTGTCAGGGAGGGGCTCCAGGGCCAGAGGAGAGGGGCTCCTCCCTCCCAGCTGGAGGCCTTGAAAGGGGGCCTTCCTCTTGCAGCCCTGCCTCCTGTTGCCACAGTACCTGAACCCTCCCCCAGAAGTGACTGGTAGGAGGGGGCCCGGAGAGCTGGGTGCAGGATGGATTTGGGGGTATGGAGGGACCTGGGACCACAGATCCTGTGACTTGTCAAAGGAGGCCCTGGGTGGTGATTAGGAGCAATCTGGTGTTCTTGGAGGGTGAGGGAGGGGGATTGAGGGGAAGCTGCTCCACACTGGGAACCCTGGGGTGGGCCAGGAGGCTGAGGGTGAGGAGTTTTCAGGGGAGGGTATCAGGGCAGCACCTGAAAATTGGAGCTCATCACCATTCCCACCCCAGTGGCACAGGGTGTCATCCTATTCCTTGGCACGCTCCTCACTGACCTGGTGACACTGGGCACTGTGATGGGGGATTAGCTGGAGGTCAGTCTGGGGGCAGAAGAGCGGGCACCTGGATCCTGAGACTCGGTAGACGAGAGCGCCCCCTCCCTCCCCTGTACTGGGGACCCTCTCAGCTGCCTGTGTGAGCTGGGGCGTCATGCCCATCTTGAGGGCGAATGAATGGAGGCTCCCCATAGACACCCATCCCAGTTCCCAGGCTGGCGAAGCAGCAGAGCTCCCTGAACGCAGAGGTGCAGGAGGTTTTGTCCGAGATGGCTCAGCCTCTCCCTCAGGCGATGCCCACAGTGCAGAGAAGTGTCAGGGACCTTCAAGTCGGGTGACACTTAGTTGCAGAGTTGTCCCTTCCTGTCTGAGGCCTCAGTCCCCCACCTGCCATCAGAAAGACTTGGGCTAGAAGAGCCTCAGCTCCCACATCCCCCCAACGTTGGAGCCCAGAGTCAGGCCTAGATCCCAGACCTGCTTTCTGTGTGTGCCCTGCTCCCTTGAGGGCTCTTGTGGAACCACAACATGAGAAAGAGGGAAGATGGGAGACTAGTTATGGACTAGCTAGGAGGCTCTTTCTGGTGGACTTTGGCTGTTTGCCTCCCGAGGGAATCAGATCAACCTCCAGAAAAAGAGTAAGGCGAGTAGCTGTGGCACTCACTGCGGAGAGGGAAGTGGAACCCCCCTGGGCAGGACACTCCGTGCTTCATCCCCTGCGCTTCACATTTATTGGGAGAGTTTGAGAACAGAGAAGTAAGGGCTGGTATCAGGGACAAAGTGCTGGAAGAGGGGCTCCTCACACCCATTCCTGAGAACAGTTAGGACCTGGATGGAATTGGAGGGAAGGAGGGTTCCCATGTGTGCGGAGGCCCAGACCTGGCCCCCTGCCTTAGTCCTCACTCCTAAGGCCCCTGCAGCATCCTCCCCTCCCCCATGCCCTACCTGCAGCCTGTCTTTCCCTCTGTCCCTGAATACAAGTATTGAGAGAGACCTGCTGCTGTGGGGGTCTGCAAATCGTTACAATCTTGAACCTGAGGAGCGATTTGGGGCCTGGTTCCAGGATATGGAGCAGCTCAGCAGAATGAGAGGTAAGGCTGGGCAGGAGTTAGATGAGGGCGGGTACAGACTCTTCCTGGTGGCCGTGGCTCCCTTATCAGCTCCAGACCTTGTTGCAAGGCCACCCTGGGGCACCTGGACTCCAGCTCCTGGGCAGACACTGGGAGGCACACCTGAGGTGTGGCACAGGAACTGCTCTGTCCTGTAGCTACACCCTGTCCTGCCAGCTGCAGCCCCAGTCCTAATCGGCCAATGGAACACTCAAGGCTCAGAGGAACTGGCCACCAGTGAGCTCAGGGGTGAGTATCCAGGCTGACAGCGGCTGAACTCCAAGGGCTCCGTAAAGCTTTGGGCCAAGTGTGGTCTTGAGGAGTCAGGTCCCAGCTACTGACCAATCCTGTGCCTGAGGTGGGCCACCTCCACTTTCTAGGACTCAGTTTTCTCCTCTGTGAAATGGGTGGTGCTACATGATCGCTCACATGGCAGGGACACATGGGGTACTGACTGATCAAGCACTCAGCACAGTGTCTGAATCAGAATGAGTGGGGACAGGGTGGTGAAGGTGGGCCATGAGCCTGGGGGATGCCCCCCAAGGTAATTCCTTTCTTCTATCCAGCCAGAAAAGAACACCCAATTGACAGTCCTAGAAGGCTCTCCTCCTTGCTGGGAGGTGTTGCCATCACGCCCTCTTGTGGACATTTTGAGAACAGCACCCTTCTAGGTTTAGCAATACGGTTTTCTCCTCAGACTGGCAGAATTCCTTACTAGAGTGCTGTTCTCAATATTATTAAAAACCCATTTTCTTTTACAGCTGAAAGCTGAGGTTTGGTCCTTTAGCTTCCTGTGCTAATTTAAATTAGTTCAGATTCTCACATTCCTCCTCTAAAATATCTCAGGGCCATTAGTGTATTGTATATGGGAGAAGGGAGAAGGGCCAGCCCCTTCCCTGGCTATGCAGGAGACCCCCCGGGCCCCCTTCCTCAGAGAACACATTTCATTATCGTGAACAAGGAGCAGACACAGCCCCTCAGAACTCCTGGGATCCAGAGGTTGAAGTTCTCTACAGGCATAGCAACAACCACTGACACGGGGACATCTTTAAAAATAACACTTGCCTGGACTACGTCCTGTCCCAGGACAGTGGCTTCCTTTCTACACCTCTGAAGGAAGAGGGAACACGTTCTTCGTCTCTTGCTGAGGTTTCTCTGGGCCAAATATTAGGAACTTGTGGTTTTCTAGTCCAGTCTCTGGAATTGCATCCGCACTAAGTAGTGAAAGAAATGTAAAGAGATTGAACACTGCGTGTGGAAGGGACAAGGCCAGAGGAAGATAATTTGCAAATGAACTAAGGGCAGGCAGGACTTTCCCTCCTGAGTGCCCCCTCTAAGGACCCAATGATCAGCCTTTATCTAGATTTGAATCCCCGGGGATCCAGGATCCCCGAATTCCATGATCTCCGAATTCCCTTTCCTGCTTGTTTCACAGCCAGGGGAAAGATGACAGCGGGGCCTCACTCCATGAGCATGTAGCTACCTGTGAACTAAGATGTCCTAGAAATCCCCTAGAGGCCCCAGCCTCTCTCTCGGGGACATTGTGGCTGAGACCTGGCTGGGACCTGATGGATGAGCTCTGCTCTGCCGGGATAAGGGTCCATGTACTTGGCCATGGAAAGACCCTCACACTCTCCCTCACGCGTCAAGGTGACTTCTGGGAGCAGGTCTACCAACAGGCCTAGAAGCAGACAGAGCTGCTGGGTGCAGATCCTGAGGAGGGTCCGTAGTAATCTCCAAGGCAGTGACCTCGGGGGAGACCAGGGCTGGCCCCTTCTTCACGGAGCTGCGCATCGTGAGGCGGGCAGACGTTAATCAGATCACCACCACGTTAACGTGCCAGGTATTTATTGAGAGTTGAGGGTAAATCAGGCATTAACTTAGGAGTGTTTGTATTAACTCATTTCATCCCCCAAATATTTTTGGGTGTTGTAGGTATTAGCCCTTTTCTATGTGAGGAAAAGCACAGAACGACAATGTAATTTAGCCAATGCCACACGGCTGAGAAGTGATTATGCGGGGATCCCAGCAGCCCGAGTGCCCGTCTTCCCAGCTTCTGAACGCAGAATGACAGAGCTCGGTTGTGGGGATTACATTAAGAGGTAAGTCCGGCAAACACCTAGCAACAGGACTGGGTTCACAATGGGTGCTCAGTAATGATTCCTGAAGTTCAATGGCTCTGGGAGGTGGACAGGGACCTCCCTCACCCTGTTGGGAGTCCTCCTGGCACTTGCACTGTGAATGGTCAGACTTTGTACAGACCCCGGGCCATCAGAGATCTCGTGCCTGGGTGTGAAGGATCTGGGTAAGTCCCAGGCCCTCTGCACAGAGAGGAATTTCCAGGCTTCCAGCGTGGCATCTGGGCCTCCCTGGAGGGTCTAACACTCCCCTACGCCCGGCACAGCAGGCACCGGAGGGCTCACCCTCGTCAAACGCACCTGCTCTCGCGGCTTTGCTCTTATCGTCCCTTACCTAGAATGCCTGCACACCCACCTCTGCCTCCCCAGGAAGGTGGCTTTCCCAGGGGATCCCCCTTGCAAGAGAACGTGTACATCTCTGTGACCAAGGCCCAATCGTCCCGGCAGGGAGAGCTCAGTGTGTGCCTGCTCCCCCTACCAGATGGGAGGCTGGACCACGGGTTTCCTTCTCTCTCGCCACGGTAAGGCCTGGAAAGGAGAAAGCAATGAGGACCCTCTTGAATTAAGGCCGTACTTTCTCCCAGAGAAAAACGATCAGACGGTTAAACTATCCTGATACGGAAGGTTTACCACCTTCCTCAGTGACACAAAGCTCTGCCCTGTGGTCACACTAAGTGCGTCTCAACACAGAACTCCCCAAGGCTGTCCCCCAACCGTGGGGAGCAGAAATCATGACTGGACAAAGTCTGTTCAACAGAGTTTCTCTTTCGTGCTTGTTCCTGTTACTAGAGGAGTGAATTAGCCCCGAGCCTTCATCGTTCAGCCCAGATGATACCCTGAGGGGCCAGTGCCATGCGCCATCTATGTGGACAGTGGCTGGGTGTGCCATCGCTCTGGGGGGCAGCTGCTGGGTAGCCGGGCCTCGTCTCGGCAGCAGTCACCCGGGCGTGGCGAGGAGCGGTGCCGGAGGCCACGTCAGCTCTCCGAGCACGTCAGCAGGATCTGGGTGAACTCCTGGGAGCCGTGGTCTGGTTTTGACTTTCTGAGCATGCCCAGTCTGGGGTTGTTGATCAGGGTCTGCAGCAGGCGCCACCTTGTCCTGGGCCTCACCGAGGTGCGGGGACCTAAGAGAGAATCAGAGCAGGTGGCCTGGGGGCGGGGGAGGGGGTAGCTGTCTCTGTGCCTCTCTGAGGCTAAAGAAAAACTGTATGTGAGGTGTGAGGTGAGGGATACAAGTGGGGCAAGGAGCTGGACCAGGTGTCCTGGGGACATGCGGGTGGGTGGAAGGATGCATTTATCCCTCAGAGCTGGGCGTTTGCAGTGTTGGGAACAGTGACGAGCAGTTCAGATCGGTGCTGACAAGACAAGATGACCCAGGGCTTCCCCGCAGCAGGCGGAGCAGAGAAATCAGGGGGGAGAGTTGGGGGTAGACAGCACAGAGCTTTGAGGGGCAGGAGTTGGTGGCTGAATGCCCTCTTGGAGGGCATCTGGCTGAAGGCTGGGATATGTGTGGGGTCTCAAACAAATTGGGGGGGGGGCGGTGGACTAGAGTTCATTTTGAGGAACAGGGAGGAGCCAGCTAGAAGGACAAGGACATAAGGCCTCAGGGGCCCCATAGCCAGGCTGACTAGGGGCTAACCCTCCTGATCTCCTGAGTGGATTTCCCAGGGTAGGGAGTGTGGAGGAAGGCAGGCAGGGAAGGGGAACCTGCGACATCTCAGGGATCCCAGAAAATGTTAGGGTACAGTGGGGCCTTGACTTACGAGTTTAATTCGTTCCATGACGGAGCTCATAACTCAAATTACTCGTATGTCAAATCATAAAGTGAACGAGTGAGACACGTGATGCTGGGCTGATGTTGTGACTTTCACTGTGACGTTCACTGTGCCAACTAGCGGTGGGGTATCTGAAGCTGGCTCGTAACCCGAATTTTAGCTCACAACTCAAAGCAAAACATTGGCCGAGAGACGGCTCGTATCTCGAAAAACTCGTTAGTCGGGACACTCATAAGTCAAGGCCCCACTGTACTTGTTTCCTGGTGTCTAAGCACAGGGAAGGTTCACACAGGAGACTCACCTGCTGACTGATGCAGGTGCTCACATCTGATGGCCTGCTGCAGCTTCCTCTCCCTCAGGCCTGTGAGCAGGATGTGACAGAAGCTGACCAGCACGGGGTTGGTGTGATAATGGTCCACATAGAGCATGCCAACCCATGCACTGAACCCTGAAACCCACAAGGCAAGTCAGGCCCTGGGGCACATCGCAGGGTGGCCCGGGGGGTGCTTTTTATGACGTAACTGCAGCATCCCTTCGCTCCTAAATGGTGCCTGTGTCTTTGCCGAGAATCTAGAAAATTGGGTACAAAGAGCCGAAAGGGCCCTTACAGATCACTTTCTACTGTAATCCGTCCATTTAATGTGGAACTTGGAGCTCAAAGGAACTTGGGGCTCCTTTAATGAACAGATGAGTGAATGAATGGACATGGGCCAGAAACAGAACAAAAGCTATTTTTGCTCTACAGAAATGGTTTTGATTTTGGAGTATTTCAACTGGACAGACCAATTTCTTCTCTAAGTAAGGTTCCAAATAGCACCACCAGTGATGCTGGGATGAGTCCTTTCTCAAAGTTTTCAGAGCCAGGCAGTCACAACTCACCTCCTAACCATTTAGAGAGAACTGGGCTACCTCCCACTGCCTGCCATTATACCTCAAAGCTCCGTCAGCCGCACAGATACTCGACAGCCTGCATTCCCTTCTTCCCACTGGGCTAAATGTTTTGCGTTTGTTTGTTTTTTTTCCTACTCAGCTTTATAGCCTCCCTGGGAAGATAAGCTCTGAGCAGAAGTGAGGCGTGAACCCTAGGCCCCTGGTACCCGACCTCCAGGTGGCTTCTACAAAGGTGGGAGTCCAGCCCTCCCCCAACAGGTGGCCATAGGGGGTGGGGGGTAGGAGGTGGGGCTGGCCACTGACCCATGTCGGCTCCCTCGTAGCCCTTCTGCATGATGGTCCTGTCGATGCGGGCGATCAGCCATGTGCCCAGGATGCAGCTGATGAGAAGCCTGGAGAGGCAGGCACCCAGGCCCAGCAGCACGTTGTAGAAGAAGAGGAAATAGTTGAAGTTGTGGAACACTTTCCTGCGAATGGAAGGAAGCGGGCGGAGGAGCGGCGCCCTTTCAGTGTGAGAAGCTGGCCAGGCAGGTGGACTCAGAGGCCCCCGACCATTGGCCAAATCCTACATTTCCTGGCTGCGAGCTGTGTGACCTCGTGCTGTACGTGTGAGCTGACTGTGCCCACCGCCCAGCGCTGGTGTGAGGACTGGCTCAGCCGTAACATAGAGGGCTCTGAGAGGAGGGCAGGACGAGTGCTAGTAGCGACTGCAATGTCTGATGGGACCCTTGGGTTCTGAGGTTTCCTGAACAATGAGAAATCTCCTGTGGCCGCAGCTGGTTGTGTGGTTACACAGAGGCTGTGGCTTCCCCATTGTCTGTTGCAACAGCGACCTGCCCCCAGCTGGGGCTGCTCCGAGTTCTCCAGATAAAATTTCCCAAATGACCACTTGATCATGGGGTCTCCTTCTGCCTATGGGATAAGCGCAAACTTGGCATGTTGAATTTCTGGGCCGTCCTCGAAAGGGGCCTTTCTGGCATTGGCACATCGTGCCCCCTCCCTCCCCTCACCACCCAGGGCCACTGCACGGCCATCACATTTGATTCTGTGTACTGTTCTCCTGACACATTCTGCCCTTTCATGGCCTCCTGCCTTCATGGTGCAGTGGGGGATGCCAGCCATGCCCTCTCCTCAGCTCTACCTGTAGGCATCCCACCATCCTATCGACTTCATCTCAAACGTCCCCTTACAGTGGAATTAACCACTCCTGCCTCTCTTCTACCACCCTGCCTCTCCTCATTACTCCTGTTTCTCTTGGGATCCTTTCACGCCCTCTGTCTGGAGTCTACTGTCCCTATATCTGTGTCTGTCAGCCCCAGCGGACCCTGCGCTTCTCACAGGCAGGTCCTGTGGGGATATCTCTTTATGCTCAGTGCCTATGCTATTTCCTTCACCATGAATGGCTTTGAATAAGTAAATTAGAAAGGATTACCACTGGCCAGCACTATGGTTCCAGTTCATATCTGAACACATCTCATCCTCAGAACACAAATGCACAATTATTGATATTCACAGATGTTTAGCAAGGTCATGCAAGGTCACGTAGCTCATAATGGGTGGAGCCAAGATGTGGAACCAGAGAGTCTGGCTCCAGAGTCCACTCCTCAACCACAGCTCCTCACTCTATAAGCGAGTGTAGGGTTTGCCCACAAACCTGCCAGCGGTGAAGAGGAAGGAATAAGATTGCTGAGGCCCTAACTGGTTTGGCTCAGTGGATAGAGCGTCAGCCTGCGGACTGAAGGGTCCCAGGTTTGATTCCGGTCGGCGGCATGTGCCTTGGTTGCGAGCACATCCCCAGTGGGGGGTGTGCAGGAGGCAGCTGATCGATGTCTCTCTCTCATTGATGTTTCTAGCTCTCTATCTCTCTCCCTTCCTCTCTGTAAAAAATCAATAAAAGTATATATTTTAAAAAAATTGCTGAGACCAAAGTCCTATAGTCACCATTCCCTTCTTTGCCCTCACCTGTTGTTGAGTGCCAAGGGCTTCTGCT